GCGACGCCCGACTTCAAAGCCTGTCAATTTTTACCGTTACGCGACAGCGAGATTCTTTTGATGTACATAAAAAGACCAAACCGGTTTTCTCGTTCCATCCACAAGGTGCTGCCCACTGAGCCTTCGATTCGAGGGAAAGTGAGCGTAACCCCTGGATATGGGGGATGTCTATTGATGTGTTCTAAGGCAAAATAAACGGCAAATATTCTATATCCAAATATTAATTATCGTTTTAGGTGTATACTTCTTGGATAACCAGATGTGTGTCGCTGAAAACCTGACATATGTATCCAGTATTGCCAAGGCAACCGAGGGGGGAGTTGGTTTCAACGTAGCGCACTTTCTCGGACGACAGTGAATATCATTTATAATTTTAAAAATTGTGTACATAGTGCTCTATCTTTTCTGCAGCTAATTGCTATTATTATTATGCCAAGCTTGTTATACTGCCACCATTTATCTAGAGACGTTTTGGCATTATAAAGGGATTTGGCGATAACTTAAGGGACAGTCATAGAGGAATACTTCAGAAAAAGAAGAACGGAGACGTTGAAATATGTTGGCGGTAAGAGAGGTGGGAGATAGTACGAGGGTCGTTATGTCGCGGTTCAACTACATGTAATTATATTTAGAAAGTCTGGAGAGTTTCGGAGATGACTTTTGCAAGCGTACCCTACCGCGTAACATCTTTAGTATATACTATACATAAGCATTACTATACTATGTTAATACTAGCATTAGTCTTCGGCTACAAGCTTACCGAATGCATTATCAAAGTTTTACTTGATAATCAAACGACGTACGTATTGAACATGTCGCATCGTACATTGTTTGTATATAAAGTAAAACTTTGATCTACACATTTCAAAACTTATGAATCTTATTGAAGATACCGTATGTACAAGAGATAGCTTGTATTCTATATTGTAGTAATGTTTCACGATGACTATTTATCTCTTTATTATATGTTGTGATATTTAAGTTTCATGCATTGCCCCGATCATTTGACAAATTCCTTTATTGGCACTGTCAGTATTACTTCTTTGCTCATAACAGTAATCCTTTATCTATATATATATATATATAAAGGTGCGTTCGTGTGTGAATGTTTTATACAAAATATTTTGTGAACAATAATTTCACTTTTTTATGTAAATGATTTTTGAAATTTGTAGTATGGGAATGATTGGTGACGTCACAGAAACTAGCTGTGCTGAAGATAATTACCTGAGTTCTTCTGATTGGTCGCCTGGCACATCCGACAAGGCTTCTCACCCTTTTCATTGGTCAAACTGTACCATTGAACGCATATACACGAGCTCACAAACGTAAGCATATGTATGGCGATTCATGAGTTGTCTTCGGGCGCAGTTATATTATTAAAGATCCCTGTCCCACTGCAGGTAAAACACTAAATCTTTCAACCGTAATTTTCATTGATGCAGCTACTCCCCTTTAGTGTCGTTTTGAGAATAACCGTAGTTAAACTAGGTCAGGGAACGATGGTTGATCAGGAAGCTCAGCTGGTTAGAATGATTGTATTCTGATCTGGAATCCTGTCTTGTCACTTTGCGTTTCCACTCTCATAAACAATATTGTTGATTTTATTTTTGCTTTGTTTATTACATCTTTTTTAGTCCTCCATGGATGTCCTGCGGGGTGTGGGTTTCTTTTCAGAAATGATTTGTTCAAGTTATTGTGAAGCTGGTAAAATTACATTTTACTTTCTAGTTTTTGTGTGGCACAGGGATCCTTAAAAATCTTACTGTTGTTATAAGGCCTTTGCAACAGCCAATATCTTTTTCAACTCGAACCCACAACTCTTCGGTCACGAGCCCGGTGTCCTACCACTAGACTATCATGCCTCCAAAGTAAACGATACACTCATGTATTATTATTTTGTATTTAGCAGTACTCGAAAACATGCACAGTAATAGTAAAAAACTTGTATCTTTTCTCTTTTAGATCGGGTAAAAACGACTGTTTATTAGTCAATAGTTTTGTAAACGACACCTACCTCGCATACCACTCTGCCTTAGAGCCAGGACGGGAATTGGAAGCAGATATACAATGCAAATACGAATTTGGTAGTACATCGACATTTTGTGGGGTAAGTTTTGCTTCTTTGTTTATTTTAATGTAACTTTAATGTACCTCAATATGTTGTTTTGCCACTCGTTTTTGATATTTGCTCTTTTGGTAGTGCGTCAACTTTCTAGGATTTAGGTTACTTTCAGATATTTGATTTTCTGTGATTTGGCAAAAACCTGTCATTTTATGTTGTAGGTTTATTTTTATGTATTTGTATGGATACCATTTCGCTGTTCCTCCATATATTGAAGTGACAGATGGCTATAGTATTTGCTGTTCGGTAATTTAGGACTGTGTCAATATTATGGGTTAAAGATGTTTTTTAGGCTTTTAATGTAATTTGGCAATAAAATGACATTTTTCGGTGCAAGTTGTTTTTCCTTCTTTTTTTTTTTT